TGGGCCCCTAATATGGACCCTTAGGACTTTCTAGGGACCCTTAAGGGTACATATAGGATATATAGTAGGTGTCTAAGGATCCCAGGTTCCCGCAGTTAAGGGGGTTTCAGATAGGAAGCTTGTCGCTTTGGAGCTTCGGGGTTGAAGGCTAAGGCTTTCTAGGTTTAGGGTTTAGGGTTTAGGGTTTAGGGTTTAGGGTCTAGACCCTTTGGCCGTCAAAGATTAAGATTTAGAGTTTACAAATGGGGAAGTGCAAGAATCAAAGTCGTCCGGCGGGCTCTCCGTGCTGATTGAAGGATGCGCGGAACTGTCAAGAAGGCTTGGGAGCTGTCGACGAGCCTGGATGCGCCTAAACCCGCCAAAAAAAAAACGGAGACCTAAATCTGCAAAGTGCGGGCTCGCGGCTGCCATGGGATGGGCTGCCGTGCCCGTCGCCATGGCCGCCATGGCCACCATGGTCGTGATCGTCACAATGGCCATGGCCATGACCGTGGCCATGACCATTGCCATGACCATGCTCCTGGTCAACCGTCTATGGGCTTGAAGGCATTAGGGCGTTAACACGTCAAGCTTCATGGTTGCAGAGGAGTTTGCTGGGACGATCTGGGGATTGTTGCTGCTTTTGGCAGCGAGGCAGATAGGAATCCAGGAAGTACTGCCAAGCTACCATCACAAGCTTCATTCAGCTTTGGCCTATAGGCGCTGCTGCGTGTAAACGAGAAACCTGTTTGTTGGATGTTGGCAGTCATGACCATTCAGAGTATTGGCAAGAATAGGGGCACGGCAGAAGGCTCGTAAGAGCACCATGCTTACTTCTCATAGAATCATTATTAAAACAGTGCGCTGTTCTATTGTTGTCATGACTGCCGCTATTGCTTGTTTTGCTGTTACCACATCGCCTGTTATGACCTTAGACATGAAGTGTGCTTGAGGGGGGAAGCCCAAGCCATCTCGAGAATCCGCGAGAAGCCTTGGTGAAATTCCAAGCCCCCGCCACCAAACGAAGACACAAGGCATTCCGCTCAACCCCAAGCTCCAATCCTGAAATCTATACCCTATCCCTATATCCTAAGCTGTAGTATACCCGACACCTCATGCCCCTAGACCTCTATTACCCTACGCATTAAACCGGAAACCCTACATCCACTTCTTTATATCCTATGTGTCTGAAGACATGAGGCCATTGTTGTGCCCTACACTCGAATCTCTAGCATCAAGCCCTGTAATGTAGGGGCCTTAGTAATTAGAACAGGGTTTTGGGCCCCATTATACAATAGTTGTAGTAAGGAACCCCCACAATAGTATAGTAGGGGCCTAAATAATTGCCTATACTATTTTGGGAGCTCCTTATCATAAATATAGCAGAATGGGCCCCAAAACCCTATTCTAATTATTAAGACCCCTATATTAGGCCCCTATATTAGACCCTCTAAACCCTAAACCCTAAACCCTAATGTATATATATATATATACTATATTAGGCCCCTATATTAGACCCTAAACCTCACCACATCCGAACTCACGAGCCCTGCACCACCGGCAGAGGCACCTCGGACTTGGGACTGTGGTGCGCTCTTGCCGGCCTGGCACGGTTTAAGGTTTACCTTAGGGTTTAGGGTTTAGGGTTCAGGGTTTAAGGTTTAGGGTTTAGGGTTTAGGGTTTAGGGTTTAGGGTTTAGGGTTTGCTGGGCTGTGCGTTTTGGGCTTAGGCTGGAGCTAGTGCTTTGTTTGGTTCTGGCTAGGGTTTGGGTCCCAGGCAAATGTCAGGGGTTGTTGGTTGCGCTGGTGCTTTTGGAAACACCACCATGCTTCAGCTCAAGCCAGGTTTTGAGACGTGGAATGTAGAGATTGGAGATTCGGGCTCTAAATCAGCAAGCCTGAACTGCGAGCAAGTTCGCGAGGGAGAATTCGCAGCTCAGCAGCTCAGCATCCAGAAACCACCCAGCTATTGTCTCAGAAAGCCCAACACTCTTCATCTGACCAACGGCCGACTCCTTAATTGAGGTCGACTGGGAAGCAGGCATCGCATCCGCAACAGCCGCGAAAATTCCCCCGCGACCGCACCCGCCGCCAAGAAGCGCCAATCACTACGATGTCTCGTGTGCTGCCGTATTGCGGCCGGTTCTTCCCTAAACCCTAATTCCTAAACCCTGAACCCTACATCCTAAACCCTAAACCCCAAACCCTGAACCTTGAACCCTAAACCCTAAACCCTAAACCCTAAAACTTCCAGTTCAGCTCCGTCGTGGGAGGCCAAAACGCCCTAGAACTCGAAACCCTAAACCCCAAATGCCTCGCCGAACCTCACCCTAAACCCTAAACACGAAACCCTAACCCTGAACCCCCAAACCCCTAAACTCCTAAA